TTTGCCCAAATTGGCCCTAATTTACCCCAAATTGCCCAAATTTGCCCACTTTCGCCCCAAATTCGGCACCTTGTCCGGGTGGAGCCGCTTGCTGGCGCAGAACGACCTCAGCTGCTCTGTCACCTCCCTGGGGACATAGGGGACATTGAGGGGGGTGACACCCTGGGGACCCCCCACCCACCCAATGGGGGAGGACAAAGGAGGGGGGGAGGGGGAGATTTGGGAGGTTCGGGGGGAATTTGGGGGGATTTGGGGGAAATTTGGGGGAAATTTGGAAGGAATTGGAGGATTTGGGGAAGATTTGGGTGTTTTGAAGTCTTTTAGCATGTTTTGAGGTCATTTTGGGTGGTTTTCAGGTCGTTGCACACGGTTTTGGGGTCATTATGGGTGGTTTTGAGCTTGTGGGTGGTTTTAAGGCTATTTAGGTGGTCTTGAGATCATTTTGGGTGGTTTTGAGGCCTTTTTAGGCGTTCTTAAGGTCATTTTGGGTGGTTTTGAGATCATTTCGGGTGGTTTTGAGATCATTATGGGTGGTTTTAAGGTCATTTTGGGTGTTTTGAGGTCCTTAAGGAGGTTTTGAGGTCATGATGGGCGGCTTTGGGTGGCTTTGAGGCCATTTCAGGTGATCTTGGGGTCATTTTGGTTTGGGTGTTCTGAGGTCATTATGAGTGGTTTTGAGGTCATTTTGGGTGATCTTGAGAACATTTTGGGTGTTTTGAGGTCATTTCAGGGGGGTTGGGAGTCATTATAGGTGGCTTTGAGGTCATTATGGGTTGTTTTGAGGTCATTTTGGGTGTTGAGGTCTTTTCGGGTGTTTTCAGGTCATTATAGGTGGTTTCGAGGTCATTTTGGGTGTTTTCAGGTCATTATGGGTGGTTTTGAGATCATTTTTGGGCTTTTAAGGTCATTTTGGGTGTTTTGAGGTCTTTTAGGGTGTTTTGAGGTTATTTGGGGAGATCTKGAGGTCATTATGGGTAGTTTTGAGATCATTTTTGGACGTTTTGAGGTCATTTTGGGAGATCTTGAGGTCATTCTGGGTGTTCTGAGATCATTTTTGGKTGTTTTGAGGCCATTTTGGGTGTTTCGAGGTCATTTAGGGTGTTTTGAGGTCATTTTTGGGTGATTTTGAGGTCATTATGGGTAGCCTTGAGGTGATTTTTGGGCGTTTCAAGGTCATTTCGAGTGCTTTTGAGATCTTTTTGGGTGGTTTTGAGGTCATTTTGGGGCCTTTTGAGGTCATTCCGGGTGGATTTGGGGTCAATATGGATGGTTTTGAGGTCATTTAGGGGGTTTTGAGGTCATTTCGGGTGGTTTTGAGGTCATTTCGGGTGGTTTTGAGGTCATTTCGGGCCCTTTTGGGGGCGTTTCGGGGGCGCGTCACCCACCGGGACACGTCGGCGATGTGCAGGTGCCGCAGCTGCACCCAGAGCTCGTCGTCCTCATCCAGCAGCACCGTCCGCTCCCGGCCCTCGCCCGACGTCTCGTACCTGCGTCCCCCCAAAATCGGCTGGGGGGGGCCCCGAAAGGTCCCCCAAGGGGCCACCACCCGGGATGTCATTGGCCAAGGTCATTGGGCAAAGGAAAGGTCTTGGATTGGCCAAGAAATGACCATGGGTTGGCCAATCATCAACCATGGATTGGTCAAGGGAAAGGTCTTGGATTGGCCAAGGGTCAACCATGGGTTGACCAAGACCAACCATGGGTTGGCCAAGGGTTGACCAAGACCAACCATGGGTTGGCCAAGACCCAACCATGGGATGGCCAAGAGTTGGCCAAGACCCAACCATGTGTTGGCCAAGACCCAACTAAGGGATGGCCAACGGTTGACCAAGACCAACCATGGGTTGGCCAAGACCCAACCATGGGTTGGCCAAGGGTTGACCAAGACTCAACCATGGGTTGACCAAGACCAACCATGGGATGGCCAAGACCCAACTATGGGTTGACCAAGGGTTGGCCAAGACCCAACCATGGGATGGCCAACAGTTGACCAAGACCAACCATGGGTTGGCCAAGGGTTGGTCATGGATGGACCAAGGGAAGACCCTACATTGACCAGGGGTCACCCACACGTTGACCAAGGGTCACCTACGTGTTGCCCATGGGTCAACTATGGGTTGCCCAAGGACCTCCCAAGGATCCCCCACGGACTGGCCAAGAAGGGGCCATGGAGACACCAAGGAGGCCCCATAGGGGCACCCAAGGGTGCTGGGAGACACCAAAGAGCACCCAAGGGTGGCGGGAGACAATGAAGAGCACTCATAGGGACACTAAGGAGCACCCCATAGGGCCCATCCAAGGGTGACACCCAGGCCCACCCCCCAGGGGCACCCATGGGTGACACCAAGGACCATAGGGCCACCCAAATGTACCAGCAGATACCAAGGAGCACCCATAGGAGCACCCAAGGGTGCTGGTAGACACCAAGAAGCCCCCATAGAGTCACCCAAAGATACCAGCAAACACCATAGGGACACCGAGCAGCACCCATAGGGCCCACCCAAGGGTGACACCAAGGCGCACCCCTAGGGGCACCCATGGGTGACACCAAGGAGCACCCATAGGAGCACCCGAGGGTTCCAGCAGACACCAAGGAGCACCCATACGGGTACCAAGGAGTGCCCATAGGAGCACTCAAAGGTGCCAGCCAACACCAAAGAGCGCCCATAGGGGCACCAAGGAGTGCCCATAGGGCCCACCCAAGGGTGCTGGTAGACACCAAGGGCCACCCATGGGTGCCAAGTGACACCAAGGAGCACCCACAGGGACACCAAGGAGTAGCCACAGGGCCATTCAAGGGTACCAGGAGACACCAAAGAGCACCCATGGGTGCTAAGAGACACCAAGGAGCCCCCATAGGACCACCCATGGGTGCCAGGTGACACCAAGGAGCACCCATAGGAGCACCCAAATGCCCCAGAAGACACCAAGGAGGGCCCATAGGGGCACCAAGGAGCGCCCACAGGGCCCACCCAAGGGTGCTGGTAGACACCAAGGGCCACCCAAAGGCCCCAGCAGACACCAAGGAGCGCCCATAGGGGCACCCAGGCGCACCCCTAGACCCCCCTCCCCTAGGTGGCACCCATCCCCGCCCCCCGGAGCACCCATGGGTGACACCAAGGAGCACCCATAGGGACACCAAGGAGCACCCATAGAGCCACTGAAGGGTGTCAGGAGACACCAAAGAGCACCCATGGGTGCTAAGAGACACCAAGGAGCCCCCATAGGACCACCCATGGGTGCCAGGTGACACCAAGGGCCACCCAAAGGCCCCAGCAGACACCAAGGAGCGCCCATGGGGGCACGCAGGAGCCCCCTTAAGAACCCCCCCAGGGTGGCACCTAGCCCCGCACCCCCAGGGGCACCCATGGGTGACACCAAGGCACCCCCATAAGACCACCCATGTGTGCCAGGTGACACCAAGGAGCACCCATAGGGGCACCCAAAGGCCCCAGCAGACACCAAGGAGCGCCCCCAGGGTGGCACCCAGCCCGGCCCCCGGGGCACCCATGGGTGCCCACCGGAAGGTGTCGTGGCGCAGCTCCAGCACGTCGTAGGCCATGGCCTGCAGCGTCAGCTCGTGCAGCAGCGGCGTCACCAAGTCGAAGGCCCGGTCCACGATGAGCAGCTGGGTGCCGCCCTGCGCCAGGGCACCCATGGGTGACGGGGGGGATGGGGGGAGCGGGGGGGCACCCGTGGGGGAGGGGCCACCAGCCCACGTGGCTCCCATGGGGTTGGGGACACCCTGGTGGCACCCAAGGTGAGGGGGCACCCATGGGTGAGGGGAAACCCAAGGAGCACCCATGGGTGAGGGGGCACCCATGGGTGACGGGAGGGATGGGGGGGCACCCGTGGGGGAGGGGACAGCAGCCCATGGGGTTCCCAGGGGGTTGGGGACACCCAAGGTGTGGGACACCCATGGGTGAAGAGGCACCCATGGGGGACGGGGGGCACCCATGGGTGACGGGGGGGAGGGGGGAGACGAGGGGGCACCCATGGCGGGGGGGGACAATGGGGCATGGGGTTCCCAAGGGGTTAGGGACACCCTGGTGACACCCAGGGGGTTGGGGACACCCAAGGTGAGGGGACACCCAAGGGGCACCCATGGGTGATGGGGTGACAGCGGGGAGGGGGCACCCATGGGGGAGGGGATAATGGGCCATGGGGGTCCCAAGGGGCTGGGGACACCCAAGGTGAGGGCATACCTGGGTGCCACCCATGGGTGAGGGGCACCCAAGGGGCACCCATGGGTGATGGGGACGGCGGGAGGGACAAGGGGGCACCCATGGAGGAGGGGTCAAGGGGGCAGGGGGTTCCCAGGGGGTTGGGGACACCCATACGTGAGGGGACACCCAATGGACACCTATGGGGGAGGGGCACCCAAAGGACACCCATGGGTGATGGGGGGGGATGGGGGAGCACCCATGGGGGAGGGGACAATGGGGCATGTGGTTCCCAAGGGGCTGGGGACACCCTGGGGACACCCAAGCTGTGGGGCACCCAACAGACACCCATGGGTGAAGGGGCACCCCTGGGTGAGGGGCACCCAAGGGGCACCCATGGGTGACAGGGGTTCCGGGGGCACCCATGGGGGAGGGGACACTGGTCCATGTGACGCCCACAAGTTTGGGGACACCCTCGTGGCACCCAGGGGACCTTGGGCACACCAGTGCCATTGGGGACCTTGGGGACACCAGTCCCACCAGTGCCACCAGTGCCATTGGGGACCTTGGGGACGCTGGGGACACCAGTGCCACCAGTGCCACTGGGGACACTGGTGCCATTATGGACCTTGGGGACATTGGGGACACCAGTCCCACCAGTGTCACCAGTGCCATCGGGGACATTGGGGACCTTGGGGACGCTGGGGACACCAGTGCCACCAGTGCCACCAGTGCCACGGGGGACCTTGGGGACGTTGGTTACGTTGGAGACCTTGAGGACATTGGGGACCTTGGGGGCGTTGGGGACACCAGTGCCACCAGTGCCATTGGGGACCTTGGGGACGCTGGGGACACCAGTGCCACCAGTGCCTCCAGTGCCACTGGGGACCTTGGGGACGTTGGTGCCACCAGTGCCACCAGTGCCATTGGTGACGTTGGGGATGTCGGGGACCTTGGTGCCACCAGTCCCACCAGTGCCATTGGTGCCATCGGGGACACTGGGGACACCGGTGCCCCCAGTGCCCCCAGTGTCCCCAGTGCCACGGGTGCCGTCGGGGCCCTTGGTGACGTCGGGGCCAGGGTGTCACCTGCGCCATGGCGGGCGTGTCCCCGCGCAGCTCGTCCAGCCGGGCCACCAGCTCGCGGGCCAGCACCGCCGTGTCCTCGGGGCCCCTGGGGACACGGGGGGACATGGGGGGTCCCCAAGGGGGCCCCGACACGGGGGGGGTCCCCAAATGTCCCCCCCGTGGCCCCTCGTGTCCCTCGTCCCTCCATGTCCCCCCACATCCCCCCCAATGTCCCCAGGT